GTACGACCAAGTGTGACAAATACACACTTTACATAGGTAGTTTACATTTTCAACAACTATTTTTGTCAAAGAACCGTTAAGTACTAGTACGGCTTCTACATTACATTTAGGCACATACATGTTATCTATTACAAACCGTATGCTAATTGGTCATACCACATAATGAATTGTTAATTCAAATAACAGTGAGCGAGGTTTCTAATTAATAAATAGTCACATAGCACATCAAGCTACTCGAATTTATCAAATGTCATTAATAGAATTTAAACCTTCAGCGCTTTGTAATGAAGTCGAAAATACGTTGTGATTGATGAGAGCAACTTGGTTTTCAGGAAAACAAAACTCCAAATAGAAGATAAATATACCTAGAGGGTGGTCCGATAAATAATATAAATGAATAGTGAATTAATGATAAAATTATTACTAGACTAACTGTTGCCCGCGACTGTGTCCGCGTAGAATATAAATGTTAGATCATAATTCTTTTTTGTTTAAATTCCTAGTGTGAGGCAACGTTTAAAAAAAAAAACAATTTCAAAACCAAAAGTAGCCTATGTTACTCCTTAGTACATCAGCTACCTGCTAATAAACGTCTTGTAAAATCGGTCCAACCATTCTAGAGATTAGCCAGTACAAACATATAGACAGACAGACAGACAAAAATAAGAAAAAGTGTGTGTCGTATATATATGAGTCAATATGCATGTAGTAAACCGCTGTTATAATATAATAAACAGACACTCCAATTTTATTTATCCATATCGATAGGGAAGAACGGGAAGAAAGAGGGAAGGAAATAAAGATAAGCCCTAATGGGGAAGAGAAAGGAAAAAATATGGCACCAACAAAACACAAAACATAGAAATAAATGTTTGGGCGACGTATGGTTCACCTGTAGACGTCTAAATAAAAAGTAGAGAATAAAAAAACAAACAAATTATCTTAGTCTTACACAACAGAAACATTTTGATAGTAGTTTCCTTACTGGTAAACGTAGTTGACGTACCTATTACAAATTATTATTTCAATATTTTTCCTCAGATAGATAATAAATAAACATTTAGTAATCTAGACAGATAATAAGGTGGATATAGTAAGTTATATGTTATCAATGTAAATTCATACCCCCTAGATTGTCATGTGTCATTGTCAGTAAAGTACCTACCTGTTCAATGTTCTCTGTATGTATTTATTATTCTCAGACGTGTTCAATTCTGGGGGCACGGCAGTGCCCCCGCCAAGTTGAGCGCCAAGCAAACACTGCCGTACCATTCTTTACTGAAACCATTTCGTCGCATTTTCAAGCCCCTATTTGAGAACTCCTGGATAAAACCAGAACGCAGAAATTTTTGTCACCCAGTAAGCTATAATCACATACTTAAAATCCAAAATTTCAAGTCCACAGGTCTTTTTTGGGACAAGCCGGCCCCAACCTCCCAAAACCGCCGCGACTCCTGTAAGCCAGGATCTACAGTAGATACAACCATGAAAACACCGGAACACTGAAGTCCGGCGCGTCCCAGGGACATGAGTAACTGTCTTGGTTCCCGCAACGAAGTGAATCAGAAAATATTATAAGAGGAGAAGAAGAAAAAACTATGGTTTCCACTTCCCTCGGTGAATTACTACAGGAGACAGAATGAATTAAGCCTAAAGGCACAAAGAAGAGACTGTACAACTGGGTGAAGCCCAGTCGCCAAGCAGGATAATCGAAGATCTTGAATAACTGGTGATCTTGATTAGGTTAAATAAGCTAATTACATTAAAATATTAACATTATTCACTAAAAATTTGGTCAAAATATAATAATGCATTGGACTAAGAGTGAAAGTACCTAATACCCGCATTCTACAAAAAGAAGTGAAATCCCACCAAAAACATTCTGTAAAAAACTAGCCAAGTCTCGATGGAGCTGCTAGTTTGTCTCTAAAAAGTAATTAAATAATCAAAGGCGTGCCAAGTTCCTTATTGCGATTTCGTTATTATTATAGTTAATGTTGTATTACTTGGCCGTTGAAGAGTAACACCACGTTTTCCAAGTGGCAATTTTCCATCGTCAATGGGTAGCGGTGGGTAGCAGTTCTGGCGATAGATTGGTGCAATGGTGTCATGGAGCACCTGGTTTTGTACCCTTGTGTATCCTTCAACGGCAAAGTCACACAACATTTACTATAATAATAACGAAATCGCAATAAGGAATTAGACTTGGCACTTTGGCACGACCGCGACGTTGATATATTTTATTACGAGACTTGGCTAGTTTTTTACAGAATGTTTTTCGTGGGATGTGTCTGTCTATTTGACTGTTTCGCCGGTTGTGTTATCGCAATTTGCAAATGCTACCAAGCAATGGATCTCGGATTCAATTTCCGTGTTGGACGAAGTTCGAAGTAACCATTATTTTTATTTTTTTTGGATTTTCGAAGCTTTTCCCCCCTTAAAAAAAATCGCTGAAGGTTTCGTATTAAATCCCCAGACTCAGACAATGAATGATAATAGACGCACGGATTCTGAAAATGGATGACGCGCTATTGTGTGGTGTTCTAAGTGTAAAAGCTCTACTCCTACTAAAAAGTGAATGTACATTTTATAGGTCCTGTACTTTCCACCTCCTTGGAAATTAAAATGCTTTACGTCATTCAAGTTACGCATTAACCCGTCGTGTGTCTAAACGTGGATTCGCGCGAGACACAATGTATTTTCTATTGTCTCATATACGGGCATTCAAGCGGTTAAACATCAGAGGCGAGGTTAATGCCTGGCACAATTAAAGACCATGTACTGTTACTGAGTAGGCACTACCAAAAACTGAACTATTCAATAATATTATGTGCCAGGATTCGAATCCAAAACCCTTTGCTCGACAGTCGCGTTTCCAATCACAAGGCCAACAGGGCAATCTGATAAAGTCACAGATAAAGATTTTTAATCCGTGTCACGTCACTTTTAAATATACATATACTCAAGATAACGAGTAATATACAACCACCGATAGTCCTATAGAACTAAGTACATAATAACTTCGATGGTAGAAAGTTTTTGAGCGGTCGTAAACGGGCAGGCATGGTGTAACTAATGGTTTTCGAGTTGGCAACCCTAACTCACTTGTTGCTATGCCAACCCCTACTCAAGCAACAGGTCGAAGCCGTCGAAGTCCCGTTGTTGTCAACATTAGGGGTGGCTATGAGAAATAACTTGCTCGTAAATGATATGGGGTTAGGAAAGGTATGTAATAACAATTTCGTAGCTATTTTTCTTTGTTGTTTTCCGAGTTAACTATGATACGTGTAGATGCATATTGATGTTATATTCTTTTTTATAAACAAGTCTCTGAAAATAGATTTTTAATCGATTAATGTTTTCTTTTTTTAAATTAAGTATGAATAAATATAATTATACAACTTAAAATAAAAATAACTAAAATATTTACACCTTAAAAATAGTTATCTTAAGGCACTCGCTATTGTGAGGAAATTAATATTAATATTTTCTTATTACTGTATCAACTTTAAATGATGCTGTTTTGGGCCTCGGTTTTTGTCATAACAGCGTGTAGATAAAAAATAATCTACACAAGCCTTTTTAACTTTGCAAGTCTCTGCAACGTTGCTAAATTCTACAATATGGTTTTTAGATGGGCGTTGGACATTATGCACCTGACTGGCGCCATATTATTATGCAATATTTTGACAAATATTAGGACTGAACTAACGGAATTCCCACTGACAAATTAGTGAATAAAGTGCCAAAATTACAAACATTTAGTTGATTAATTGGAAACTGTTATCAAGTTATCGTTATCATGACGCATTAGTGCTCATTCTTGTTTTGTTAATCGATTATATTTGATTGTTTATCATGGTTTTGCCCCTTAATAACATAATTTAGAAGAGCATTGAAACCCAAATATGATAATTATGATATTCATACTATCAGTGAAAATCAGAAAGAGACGCGTACTTTAAAAAGATGAGCGTTATAAACGCAATAGGAACAAGCTTCATAAGTAGTTCTCTATTTACCGTACCTACATTTTTTGTTTCCCTGGTACTCACATTTCGTTGATGTTAAAATATTTTTAAATTAAACCTTTATTTAATACGTTATTGAAAAGGCTTCTAGAAAAATGTATGGTCAAGTGTGCGCGTGTCCAATCGGTTTGGTTATACCTTACTAATATAAACATCTAAATTTAATAATATAAATCTAGACTGGATTAGATACGAACGAATAACCCGTGAATTTTCATATTAAACGTAATTAGGTACCTATTCATTTGTGTTCGATTTAAGATAAAGCAAATGTCCTCTTAGATAGACTTTTAAATAATTTTCTGTTAACTTTTAGCTCCTTCATAAAGAAACAGTACGATTACATCCTACGCAAGTACTACGCAAAAGTGACAGTTTTGAGAGCTAAACTAAGTAGGTACATGAATAACTGAAAATGTACATACATAAATGATACCTAGAAATAGGTCAGACATGACGTCGTGTATCTTCGAGTTAGGTATACTAACTATTGATGGCGTCTCATGGAAATTGCAGGCGTTATTAAAAATCAATACACACGCTTCAAATGAACTGTTGCGTTGCGAAGAATAATAAAGTTAGTGAAATAACACCATAGCAACTAAGTTTTAGTTTAATCTCCATGAAACGTTATTACTTACTGGTTACATCGTAAGATTAATGTTTTCGCGGATTAGTTTCAACTTGGACTTAAGATAAAAATATTGTAGAAGTTTACAATTTTAAGGTGGAAGAAATATTAATGATAGGTGTTATATTTAGAACCGTGTAAGTACCAATAAAATACATTTGAATTGGTTTTCTTTCATATAATTTTCATAGTATTAAATGTTTATAGCAGGATATAAGCTAGACGTAGTGCTCAGGGTGCAGGGAGCTGGGTGGTGGAGGTGAGTGGCGAGGCTGGCGGCTGGCGCTCCGTGGCGCGGATTCACGGCTCGAGCTACCCGCTCTCCACTCCGCGCCGAGTAGTCGCCGCGAGTGCAGGCGCCTCGCGACTCGCGACCTTATTCCGCGCTACGTCGCTACCACGCCACCACTCACTCGAACCGAATTCGCTCACCGGCCACCGCGTATTATACGGAAACTATCACTTTCGCTCCAGATGACAATCAAGTTCTAAGTATGATAACACTGTGAATTTATTAGTGTGCACCGTCCGGCTCTACCACCACGGCAGCATCGCAAGGTAGGTGAGTTTATTTCATCTATACTTCCATGGTCAGAATCAAAATCGAGTCTACGTGTCAGTTCCGAATGCTAAGTGAAAGGCAACTCTTTGTTAAATTACGTGGATAGGTTGACAACGAGTTCTATAGAGCATCTCGGAAAGCACTTACTTTCAATCATTGCAAGAGTTATTAATTAAGAAACTTTATAATGTGTGAATTGTGAGTAAAGGCAACGCGCGTGTACTGATGTTTATTGTATAAATCGCGCTGCGTCCATGCATTTGTAATATTGATTACATTTGCAGATTCAAAGTGTTCACTAACTAATATAAATTGTATCATTTCGATCATTTAACACTGACCTACATTCTGGTCAGATACACACTACATTAGCATTTTCGTCCTTGATATTTGAATACCTGAAGATACGAAGTATGAAGGTACATTTCTCTTTTAACATACGGGTGTCTAGTTCGGCCAATTTTACGATTATTTGTTTCTCATATTTATAAATGAAATGTGAATTTAAATGACAAGCTAAACAAGTAGAATAAGTGACGGTATAAAATTGTAGTGTTCGTACATTTATACATGTTTTGTATATAAAATTTACAATTGATTATGTACGAGTTAAATTGTTAGTAGTTATTTTACAAGTAGTTTATAATATTGCAAGGTCTGCTATATCCCTTACGAATTACAAAATGCCTACTTAACAATTCCTACAGGAAATCGTTGTGAATAAATGACATTGGAGCTAAAACTACTGAATAAAATAAAATGTAGCTACTGTAAGTGTTTTTCAAATACTTTATCTGTGCGTAAAGTTTTAGTACATTGTCATAAATCAACTTATCGAGGGAATATTTATAAACGTAGGTAATAGCCTTATCCAATTTGCTAGCCTGTTAATAAGATAGAGAAACGAAAACAATATTTTAATTATTCACTTATTATGCATCTTCACAACTATGTATAAATGATAATAACTTTATCGAAGTTATTTTTGCGTTGCATCGATTTAATTGTCATACGTATAAATAAGATTAAGACATGTTTTAACATAAAGTTCACTGACTTGGTCAGAGTCCGTAGATCTAAAGATTAATGAAATTAGTTCTGAACAAAATCCAATTAATTTGTCGTGAATATAATTAATGTTATTGTTATTATATATTGTCGTTTGTTACGTTATTATTAATGTGCCTTTATGTATTTTATCACAGCGTAATTATATAGAGAGCCATTGTGTGATAGGAAATTTAGTTCCTGTTAGACACGCCAATAATTAGTCTTTTGTAATATATAGAACCTTATATATTAGTAAATAAAGAACAAAAATACACATAATATTCATAAATATAAACAAACTTTGTTAGAGGTATAGTTATCATTCAAATCTTTAACGTTTCAGATATCGCATTATATCAAAGTGGTTGTAAAAGTAATCGACAAACAGATATATATTATTTATTATTTAAGTATTAAGGATATTATTTAAAAGTGTAACGTGTATAATACCTTCGGAATAGATTAGTATATGATAGTTGGTTACTTAATCGTTGTTTATCTGTACGTTAAAGGTATGAGTGGCTTCCTTTGACACCATTTTACACAATACATATGCACAATGGAAAGTCCCAAATGAGGACTTAATGATTGTGTATAATATTAATAACATGATACATAAATAGTGTTGTTTAAACCTCGTGATAATGGATAAGGAAAGGATAGGTGTAAGTAAATTTCTGAGGGAATGATTTTTAAGTGATATATGTGAGAAATGTTAGTAAACGGTCGACGGCGATCTTGAATTTCATTGACAAGATTGGTGATTAATGTCGGTTTTTCATATGATAAAGGAACATGATATGATAATAACATACCATATCATGTTTCTCTCATTTTAAGTTACATATTAGTGTAGAATTTTATACTTAGTACAGAGTGTTGTAGATAATTTTCTACGAATATAGACACAGCGACAGAAGTATGCAACAATCGAGATATTTCATTATCTTTATCTACCCCTCGAAAATGCGTGACGATATATAATATGCATGTATTTTTCTATAAAGCACGTTATGCAGCTGATTGTGGGGTATGCGTCACGTTTACCCGCTACGTGGATCCAAACTATATACATAGTTGCACATACCGTTGTACGTACAGTACAAACATACATACCAATGATAAAAGTGAGAGCAACACGTACTAGAAGTTAAGCCCGTCCTTCGAATTATAACGTAAAACCTTTGCCTTATTACAGTTTATCTGATATCTACTTTAAGTACTTGTTAGTAAAGTTCTTTATCGTATGTTCTGGTTCAGTAAAAATAAGCTCGGAAAGCCACGTGTGCTTGACTAAAATCTAGATTGAAGTTATGAAGGTAAGATGTGATCATTGTGTTATGTGCTTATTTTATGTTACGGTTAATTAATCAAGAATGAATTACATTTTAATATTCATGTTCAGCATGAAACGAAATGATTATTACCTACATACACACTTGCATAATATATGTACAGGTAATTAAAAAGGTACTATTTATGAATGTTTGTAAAAGCACCCACGTCACAGGAGAAAATCCTAGTGTGGGTATCGCTAAAAAATTTTTAGATTTTATTAATTTATTGATTCATATACCACCTCTTCAAATTAGTCTTCCATGGAAGACAAGAAATAATATCACGAAAGGTGTTTATCAAGGTTAAGTCTCGTATCGCTCCACACCAATACTTGATACTTCTTCACACTTCCACTGCACTCTTTTGATTACTTCCTCTCATCTGCTTTTTCGAATAGTTATTTAGTATTCTAGGCGGAAGTACTGCCTACCCTTTCTATTCACATAATCCCTGAATCACTTTCTTACGGCACCAACGGGAAGTGAATGGATATTGATGGGCGATTGGACCAGTCTCGGTACTTTTAGATAAATTACTAGTGTCTATCTACTACCATTCATTTTAATATAGACTTATGATCCTTATCTAATTTCGTCGCTACTATGTATAAAGTTTATCGGTTCTATAAAATGGTTTATGTAATAAAACACATTTAACTAGCGAAACGTCTGTTTTGTAAATATTTCTAATTGAACTTTCGCGTTTAATTTTCTTTCAATACTTTTGTGTTAAGTGATGTATAGTATCCCTATCCTAACTGGATTTGCTTAATCAAAATGAACATTCTGTAGGTATCGCGATTAGTACAGTTTCGTTTTTCATAACTTTTTGGTGGAGACCTTATTCTAAATTTACCATGACTACCGAGGTCGGTAGTTGGCTTAGTTTGGATCCCAATGCTTGGGATTGGGATCCAAACTGAGCATTGATCATGCTAACTTGGATGTCTGCACAACAATAACGTTACTTAACAGTAAAACTACCAAAATAATTTAGTTTGATTACCGCTCTCAGTGCTCTCTACCTCGATCACTTCTTACGTAAATAAATGGAGTAATCTGTTCAGTATTTGAGACCGAACGGTATAAAAACCGGTCACCATACACCAAGCAATTTTAGCACGACAGGTTATTGATATAGATTCTGTTATTGCGAGCGCTATCGATGTACTTAATTTATGCCGGCACCAGTTGCCCAGCGCACTCCCTAGGGAAAGTAGCGTAATTGGATTCATTAGTACTCAGGCCAAAGTACATAGCACGGCAGACACGACAGTAATCTGTATTAATAATATGTATTGAAAAGTCTATGTACAGACAAACTGTAACGTTGTCTGTAAGGGCTACTGTCCACGTTGCGTCATTTGACGAACGCACTTATTCGTCAAAAACAATAGTCGAATTTATCGTTGCCGCTTCGTAAACAGTTTTCATTTGTAGTTTAGAGGCCGGCTATTGTTTATGAAGGATGCACGCATTCGTCAAATGACGTCACGTGGACAGTTACCCTGACATAGCGTTATGACTGTTAATTGATGAAAGAGTAGTTACAATTTATTCCCAAATAAAACTACACAATACAATTTAAACGTGAATGAATAGGTGTCAGGTTTATTTAGGTAATAGCACAGGAAATATTATATTTTATGATAGTAATTTTCGTAAAAACTAAGGTCACATCATTGAGTATTGCATAATATGTATTTTGAACGTTTCATATATTTTCGAACCTTTGAAGTAATTTTTACTAACAAACTATCAAACAAATACCTACTTAAGTTACTGCAAAAACAATAGGTATGATGAAAGGGTATGAAAATTAAAAATCTAATTGGTCTGTAAGTTAGGTAATGAAAAAATATTGGACACGTATTTTTTTATTTTGTTGTATAATAAAATAATACTTCGATAAAACGAAGCAATGTTTAGGAGTGGGGGCTAAAACGTCATCGCTACGTTTAAAATGTACATAGAAGTGACGTCCCGCGACATTTCAAATCAATATAACGTCGAAAGTTTTCGTTTTTAGAAGATAAAAAATACGTGTCTAATGATTTAAAGAAACCTAGCAGACGGACATTAAAATAAAAATTAGGCATCTACCCCATTATACAAAGAAAGTTTCTTCTCAAAAATTTCGATTTGGATTTCTTAGAAACGTAAAGACAAAGTGCATTGCAAATATTTCATTAGATACTTTTTATCTTTGGTGATATGACCCACAAGTTGTAACGGTATTCAGTAGCCGGCAAAGAGGTTGACTACTCTCATGATGCTATAAATAAAATCTAAGTTACCTATACAAGTATATCTCTTAAGTATATATCTTATTGTTTACGTTCTCAAAGATTTTATAAAGAAAATCTCGATGTATCGAAAGGAAAAACACGTCTTCTTTATAAACATTATATATAGGCACGTTCAAAACACAGATATTATCTAAAATATCAATTGTTATGTCATGAGTGTGGGAGAGCCATGCTTCGGCACGAATGGGGCGGCTCGACCGGAGTGATACCACGGCCTCACAGAAAACCGACGTGATCGACGCTTGCGTTGTGTTTTGTCGTGTGAGTGAGGTGACGGGAGGCCTAATTACCTCCTTCACCAATC